ATTAATTTAATCAGAAAACTAAACGAGTCGGCCATTTTGGCACCACAAGTATTCCATGAATTCTCTAATATTTCCTGCCATAGTCGACTATGCTTACTGAGATTGTGCTAAATGCTTCCGCTTCACGAATAAAATACACCGACATTAATATATTTTGAGTGCAAGCCGTAAAGCTATGAAAGCAAGCATCAAGTTGGTCAAGAGAAATGAACTTACGTATCACGCATATCACTAGTTTTGTCTTATCTAGTTAATTTAATGAATTTTAGTGAACATTCATTTGATGCTTACACAATCAATTTGTCTGCATTTTTATTATATTGTTCAACCAATACGAAATCCCAAATAGAGAGACTTTCGTAAAGGCTTAAAAGGAGGGAAGAATTATACATTTTGAGGATATGTAGGATAGATGACGATTGACCCAAGACGTGAAGAATGATCGGGGAAGAATCCTTTAGTGTGTCTGTTTCACAAAGTAATACTGCTGAGGAAGAATCTTTCTGAATGGAACTTCAACTTTACCAATGGAATACGTAGGGAAGGGTGAGATGGATTAACCCCATTTTTATCTCATATATATATATATATATATATATATATATAGACACAATATTTTCTTTCAAGCAAGTTTAGTAAAATAATTTAGACGTATTATGTGTATTTATTTTTGTTTTAATCCTTTCAATGGTATGCGTTACTTCAGTTATTTTCTTGTAAAAAAATTATTAAGAAAAAATCCTAAGTTTTCTTTAAAATAATTTTTATTTCCCGAAGTACTTTTAATCTCATCTGAGACCAACTTTAGGGGTTGCATATCTATTGATGTGTGATGTGTTACCAACGTAAATTCAAAATATTTTTATCTCTATTCAAGGGAGATAAGTTTTGTAGGTTATTTTTAAAGATTTTTTTTTTAATTTTCAAAAGACTTTTTATTGTAGTATTTTAATTTAGTATTTTTATATAACACGTTTCTACTACAGACATTTAAGCAATTGGTTTTCTGTATTCGTATATATATTATAGCTATATTATACTTTATTTGTTTATGGTCGCAGTTCTTTTATATATTTTAAGTTTTTGATTATTGTTATCTTGATGTAGAACTGACGTTTTTTTCGACAAATTTCTGTCTAAACTGTGTATGTGGATATAACTGTTCCTTTAAATGTTTTGAGATTGAACTATGATCGTTCAAGTGAAACAAGCCTTCTTGCCATCGTCGTTGTTGTAAAACCAACAAACATATTAGCATTTTTATCAAAGATGCAACCTCGCAAAGGACATTTAAATTGATATATGATGTTGGTCTTTTGTAAGACGCTAGTTGATAGAAAAGAGTTGTTATGGATGACTAGGTTGGTTAGTTAGATTTTATTAACCGTATTTTTAATTGGATTAATAGTATTAATGAGTCTTTTTAGAATTTTGTCCTCCAGCTTATAGTTAGAATGAATTTGACTACGTTATAGTAGTTTGGTATGTTTGGAGTTATCTGAGGACGTATTATGTTAATTTTCATTTCCGTTAATATTCCCAATAGCTCGTTTAATTTGTTCATCAACTATGTAATTAGGAACGTCATTATTAATGAGGGTTTGTTTAATATTTTTAATTCACTATAGAATATCTTTCATGTTGACGAGTTTGCTTGTGCATAGTTTATTAATTTTCTTATAATGGCTATTTTTGTAATAGTTAATACGTTCACTTTCATAGTTGTGAGTGCACGTGTTTATGCTAGTTAGTTTTAGTTATATAGAAATAAAGTGTCAATAATGACACTTGTACATTATTTAAATTATTCAGATTATTGACCTCATCTTTGTCGCCATATTTATTACAACGTTTCGGCTTTTGTACGCTCCGGCTTTCTTCAGGTGGTTGGAAAGTCGAACTTAACCCTTTATTTCACTCACTGGGGTAGACTGTTCTAGTTCCACGTGCCATGTTTAATGGATGTCTGTTATCAGTTATCTCCTGTTAATTTCCCGCTGAAAGTTCTCCACTGCCTTAACCGCGTATTGAACTCACACTCTTTGGGTCCTGTCACTGGATCTAACCAACGTCTTTGCCCACTGTGCCATGTGCCCTTGAGGACACATGGCACCTGAAGAATGCCGGAGCGTACAACGGCCGAAACGTTGTAATATATATGGCGACAAAGATGAGGACAATGGTCAGAATAATGTAAATAATGTACATAATACCTTATCTCAGAAATATAGACAGATACTGACACTTTTGTTTGAACGTAGATCGCAAGTGAACAAACACAGGCGATCTCATTGATCTAGTTAGATCACGTGACCATAGAGGAAACACATATATAGAGAGAGAGGAAGAGGCGTGACGTCTAGGTCTGTTTTCTATTCTAGTCTATCCCTTACACTACGTATTCGCTATTTCTCCTCTATCCCCTATAATATTCAAACTGCTATTTTATTCTCACTATACGAAGTACTATTACTATAAGTATTATCCTAAGACGACTAAT